TGAGCAGATGTGACACATCAGGACTACGGCTGGGGAGGGGGAGGGGGCCGACCACCGAGCAGCTATGTGCAGACACGCTCCCGGGCCTGCAGCCGCAACAAGGGTTGTGGTGACCCTCATTGCCAAGGTCAGGGGCGTGGCCCCCCCCTCCCCCCAGCAAGTGCACAAGGCCTCTGATGAACTCTTCAGCTCGTTCCCATGGAAACCACATTCCTGGGCCACAGCGACCCCCACTGGATGGGCTACGTGTTGGTGGAGCGAGAGCCCCAGCTGTCCGCTGGTAAGTAAGCTGTGGGCCCCCGAGAGCTGTATGCCTTTGGGGACCCCGGACACTGGAACAGTGGAGCGAGGTGTCCAAGTGAGCCACTTGTGCCCCCCAGACTGCTCAGACGCTGAGCAGCGTCCCCTCACACCTGAGCCCCCCAGACTCCGGGCCGGAATGGCCAACCAGGGCCCCCTTCCAGGGAGGGGTGCGTAGCCCCACTGGCCGTGCCCGTGTGGTCACCGAGGGGCCCCACAGTTGCTAAGGGCAGCTGGCCGGTGGGGTCCCCGGGAGCCTGGCCTCCTGAAAGGGGCCCGAAGGGGCTCAGCCAGGACCCTGACCCACACCCCCAGTGCCAGCACGGCCAGACAGCGATGAGGAGGAAACCTGGGCTCCTCCCGTGACCGCCTGATGCCTGGGTGAGGGGTGGGGGCGTGGGGCCCTCCTGGCCCATCCGTCACTCAGACACGGGGGGCAGATAAGGAGAGATTTCTCCCAGCCCAGACCATCAGGGAGCAGCTCCAGATGTCCCCTCACAAAGACCTCTCCCGAATACCACACGGTCAAGCCCTGTTCCCTGGGGTTCCTGGCCACTGACCCTCTTCTCACGAGCAGACCCCAGCCAAGGGTCCAGTACCACCTGAGGGTGGGGGAGGGCTGAGGGAGGGGCTGCTGGGGCTGCCAGTGCCCTGCCGGCTCTGAGCACTCTCACCGAAGATTCACTCCAACAGATCGTTTTGCTGACTAGGAAGCAGGTGCCCCACAGGGCACATCCCAACGCCCTCCGTGAGGATGTGGACGTGGGCATCTTCTCACACCAGTCAGAGGCCGGCACCACCCTGTGCACGGCCACGGAGGGCCTACCCTGGGAATCTGACTCTCCTGCTGGGACCCGAGGACACACAGCCTCCCACCGGTCCTCTGCAGGACAGGAAGCGCCCAAGGGCGCCCACGAACTCCCGGGGCATCTTTGGGAATTAGGCTCAAAGCAACCACAGACTTCATTTTCAGGCTGTGCCTAGGGCAGGGGCGCTTTGCACCTTTGCACCGGGCTCCCTTCTCGGTACACACGTCCTTTTGAACACTTCTATGCTTTGGCCACGCAGGCGCGGACAGCCTCTTGGTGCAAGGGTGCTGGGGACTGTGGACCAGGGTGGGCAGGTGGTGTGGTCCTCAGAGGGACACCCCCCTTGCCTGGGGGTGTGTGGCTGGCCGCTGGCCGACTGGCTGGGTGGCCTGGATGTGGCCGTGAGCTGGGGAGCCTGGGCCGCGGGGGCATCAGCACACTGTGCGTCTCCAGCGCGGATCCACAGCGGCCACCGTGTAGCTAAAAGTATTTCACGGCAATTGTTAGAATCTGTGAGAGCGACTTGAGGCGGAACCTGTCCTCCGAGCTGAGAAAATTCAGTGCTTAGCGAGAGACGCTGTCCGCTCACTTGACGGAGGAATCTCGGGGGCGGGCTTCCTTCCATCCCAACAGGGAGGCGCCCGACACAGGCTTGTCGTGGGGCCGGAGATCCTCATGAACAGAGAGCTCACGGACAGCCTAGCTCGGAGGCCCCCACGGGGCTGGCCCTCGTCAAGCTGGGTTGGCGCGTGTCGCACAGAAGGAGGCCCGAGCCCCGTCCCGGCAGACAGGCTCATCGGCTCCAGGAAGACACGGGTAGCCGCAGACCCTTCACCACCCCTCGTGGCCCGCGTCCCTGCGGCCGGAGCCCTCCCTCTCAGCGGAGCCAAGAGCCGGCGGTGGGGGGCGGGGGGGGGGCTGGGGAGGCCTGGCTCCACAGGCCGGAGGCGCCCAGCACAGGGCAGCTGTGACATCCCGGGGGCCACGTCCAGGGCACGGAGGGCGCTGGCCCGGGTGCACTTCCCGAGCTGATGGTAGTTCCGTGGGAAAACTGCCCCCAGCGGGGTGAACTGTGCGGGCGGGACACCGCGACGCAGCCTTGGAGCGCACAGCCCCACCCAGGGCCGGCCAGCCCGGTGGGCTCCAGGTGACTGACTACCACACGACGCCTGACTCTCGTCTCCTGGAGGTGATGGCAGACAGGGGAGGCCTAACTACCCACCGATGGCATCGGTGCTCTCGGGGAGAGGAGGCCCCTGTCAGGCCACCGTGTGGCCAGAGTGTGGGGCCGGATCTCCCCGCACCTGCCCCGAGGGGCCCTCATTCAAACTGCCCCCTCGCCATGCTCACCGCTAAACAGCTGTGTCTGTGGGTATACAGGAGGCGCTCAAGAGTATCGCCTGAGTGAGTGGCACATCTGTATAAGCCACTGTACCAAGGCGAACCCACGGAAAGTGGAAAGAAATGTTCAAGAGAAAAAGAAGAGAGCTTTAAACCAGTCCGATGACAAGACCCAGAGTTTATTACTCTTGGAAGAACACAGACTCGGAACAAAGAGCAGAGAGGCAGAGTCAGCCGCAGCGCAGACGTGCGGAGGTGCGACATGGGGAGGGACCAGGCTTCTCCCGGTTTGGCGTCCGTTCGAAGTCCGTGCGAAGTCAGTGGGCAGGTGCCCGGCGAGCCTGCCCACGTGGCACGTGCCCTCCAAAGTGCCCCGATATGTACATATCTACAGAACGCACACGACAAGCGCTTCCCCGGCCCCCTGATCCCGCGGTACAAGTCGGACGGCTGTCGGCAAGGGGCCGGAGCAAAGGTTGGCATTCGTGTCACCCCCAACAGCCGACCGCAGCACGTGTCCGCGCATCACGGAGCACACAGAGGAGAAAGGACAGCCACCAGTGGCCCTATCACAGTGTCCACTGAAAAGGCTCCTCATCTACAGCACAGAGACGAGGGATGGGGGACGGGGGCCGGTGACGCATGCACACACTTTGGGACACCGGTTCCGAGTGGGGCGGAGCTGCTCCGAAGGCCAGGAGCCCTGCTTCATACACCTCACACTCGTGGCTCGCGGGCAGCCGTATCGCTCACCTCCACACCCGCTAACTCGAGCATCCGTCTGGAGGACACCTGTGCATATTCCAGGCCCGGGAACCCCCAGGACTCCCGAGCCCCGGCCCGGCTACGCGGGGCCAGACACGGCTGCAGTCTCACGGAGTCGGGCGAGCGGGCGCAGCCCTCCCTACAGAGGACCTGGATGCCCTTCCGAATCACACGGGGCCTTACCACTTGCTCAAGACAAATGCTATTTGGTTTCCAGTCTCGAGACTGAAACACTAAAAGTGCCAGCTATGCACGTTTTAAGAACAGCACGTACGTTTTCAGAAACTCCCCGGACCTTGCGCAGAGGCAGCAGGGGACCCGGGAGCGAGGAGGAGGCTGGCGGGAGAGCGCCGCCGTCTGTCCAGGCGGGGGCCACTCAGATGCATCACCACTTCCGGAGCATCGTGCGGCCTCGCCCGCTCGCCCTGAGCCCCTCTGTGACCCGTCCCGGACACACGCACACGTGCTCCTAAAGGAAAGGCAGAGGCGGCCGGCCCACGGGGACCGTGACGATAGCGGCCATGCCGGGACGCCTCATCAGCTAGAGGATTGGGGTAGAGGGTGACTTACCATAAGTGTTTCTTTTTTTATTGGAAACTGAGTGGACAACAGCGGGCGGACAGCGGACTAGCAGAGACTCAAAGGTGAGGGGGGGGGTCAAACCTGGAGGTACCTGGTCTCGGAGGTCCGGCCGAGTCCTGCGGGGTGGGGGTTGGCGGCAATAAAGTGCTGTTGGGGCTGCTGATGTCCCCCTCCCCCGTGAGCGTCAGGTCGGCCACATGCTCGCCCTCCATGGTCTGGACGCCCCCGGCCTCGGCTTCCTGGGCGTGGGGCGTGGGGGTCTGGGGGGCACTGAAAGGTGGGCTGTCGGCCGAGCTGGGGCTCGTCCCCGGGCTCTCGTGGCAGTCTCGGACGGGCCCCCGCGGCTCCTGGGCCCGGGGAGCCTTTTCCTTGCCGTTGCTGGTGAAGCTTCTCTTGCCGAGGCCCTTAGCCGCGGCGGGCGGGGGGAGGGCCAGCTCCAAGGGGCCGGGGGGCAGACGCAGGAACTCGGGAAGAACCAGGTCCTCCTTCCTTAGCAGCCCGCGCTGGTCGTCTGCTCTGTTGCTCTGAGCTTTGGAAATGAGCTCAAAAAACTCTATTGGAAAAGAACCCCACAGCAACCCAGTCTTAGAGAGGTTCAGAGCTGGGCACGCACAGCAAAAAGTTCACCGTCTGGAAAGCTCTGGTCGTGGGCTGTCCCACTGCCCTGAACTCCAGGCCACGGGCCGACCGGGCGCCGCCCTCCATCACCACCTGCACCCTCAGAACTGCGGGGAGGCCCCAAACTAAGGGGAGGCCCCAAAACTAAGTTGTGTGAAGTCCAGACCCGAACAGACCAAAGCACCTGCTGGACGTGCTGTGTGCGGACGGCTTTGGTGATGTGTTTGTCGCCCACACTCTGATTACACCTGGAGGCCCGGACCCTCCTGATGATTGGGGGGCGGGGGGGCACCGGAGGCACGAGTGAGCCCGCGGCCCCCCAAGACGGCAGCGTGTGAAAGCTGGGCCTCGAGGGGTCACCACCTTCTGGCAGAAGGTGGTCTGTCTCCCACCTTCCTGGAGGGGGAGGCTGTGGACGGCCTGCCCTTTGCCCCTGGCCTCCTCCAGAGCTCCTGCCCTCTTACCTGGGCCTCCGCCAGCCGTCACTGGAGTTCACCGTCCAAAGTAGACAGAGTCTAAGCTGAGCTTTCTCCAGCATTTAAATTACACTCTTTCTTAGTTTTCAAAAAATGACCAGGAGTTTAAGATCTCAAATCGTAAAGACTCTCAGCAGGGAGCAGGCGTGTGTCTTACTTCTGCCTCCTCGGTGGCCAATGGAGGCCGGGGGAGGCGGGGCGAGCAGGCTCAGGTAGGCCTTCACAGGGGAGCTAGCTGGGAGCCCAGCTGACTAGGAGGCCCTCCCTGGATCAAACTTCAGGCCGCTGTAACAGCTGTTAGATTTGATTCTGCTGTTACAGGCTTTCAGAAGAAAAAGAAGTTTCCATAAGAGATCACCTCTCCTAGGGTCTCTGGGACCACCCTTTCTCTCCCCTGCAGGCCCGGGGAGTACAGGGCATCCAGCCCAACAGGCTAAGGCACACGCCTTCCTCAGGGCCTCTGACCGGCAAGGTCAGCGAGCCCAGGGCCCTCCCAGCTGCCTCCTCCCCACCTGGCACCCGCCCTGCTGGTGGGGACTCTGGCCGGGGCCCTCGGACACTAGCTGAGCCCTCATACAAGTGGGGAGGGAGGGGTGCAGACAGATCCTGGGGGACCGCTTGCTGTGCCCCTCAAGGGCAGTCCCTGGCTCCTCAGGGGCCTGATACTCAGTCTGAAAAGAGGGAAGAGTCACACCGAGAGCCACAGGCTGATGCAGGGGTAAGGCAGGACAGCATCCTTCTGGTGTCACTAACTCAGAGAAAGTTCTAACGGTTGCCCTGGAAAACTGACATCGCATTCACTAGAAAACACGGAAGTTTTAAAAAGTACACATACCCTCTGCTTCGTCCAAATTAATTTTCTGATATTTTTTTTTCCCAATCTTTGCAATAGATTCTTCTCTCTTTGAAAGCCGGGGATCCCTAGCATTTTTTCCATTTTCTCCTTTTATTTTAATAGAATTAGACTTGCCTAGTGTTCTCTCCTCTCCCTGCATTAGAAGGAAAGTCAGAGTACACACAACCCATCAGTTAGAGACAGAAAGGACCCCTGAGACACATCGCGTCGACACACGCTTTACGTGCCTTGCGGAAAAAGCAGTCGCAATGATGAAGTTTACAAAAACACCCCACCCCCAACGCAGGGGAACAGAGAGCCAATGGCCCAGGGTCAGGGGGAGCCGGGCACCTGCAGGGGAGCAGGGGTGCGGGGCCGGCCCAAGCAGAGAGCTGGTGGGCATGAACGGGCGACAGACAGAGGGGCGTGAGGGGCCCGACCTGAGCTGCGCCAGCCAGGAGCGAGGAAACCGGGCGGACGAGGGCAGAGGGGAATTACCGTAGCCGAGTGATTTCTGGAACTGGAATTTACAGCTATATTCTGTTTGACTGGTGCACTTTTCTGTTTATCTGTGGATACCGAACACAATGAGATAAGCTTTGTAATTACAGTGAATCATAAGTCCGCCTGAACGTTTAAACATAATCACATTTATATCTTTTCGAGAGAAAGCTGTCGAGAAGCCAAAGCTATTCAAGATCCCTCACTTCATATGCACACACAGGCCAAAATGCCGGTTCAGAACAAGGGACGAGAGACCACCGTCCCCCACCCACCGCGTCGGGGGCAAGATGGCGGGGTGGGGGGGGGGGGGAGAATGGTGGCTCCACCCTACAGTTATGGGGACTTTTTGGACGTGGTGAAAGAAAGGCTCGTTTCAGGTACTGTCTGGCATGAAGATTCTTTAGACAGCAGAAGATTCTCACATTTATGACCTATTTTCAAACATGGCTGTTGCCCCAAGTCAGGGCTACAGGCCGGCCTCTGCCGGCACCAGAGGTCCAAAGCCCACTCTGCTGGCCCGGAATCACCTAGAGGAATAACAGCGCTCCTGCCTGAGAGCAGCTTTGCAAACACGCTGGGTGCACCCGCCTGTGGTGCCACCGTCACCCCACCCCACCCCGTCTGGCCACCAGGCCCCCGAAAGAGCGCAGCATTCTCTGGGACCAAGGGTGGGCCCGGAAGATCCCTCCTCCGCCACCAGGGGGCAGAGAGGAGCAGGACACTGCAGTCAGGGAGGCCACCCGGGGTGGGGGACGAGACCTGTGAGCCCAACTACATTTCAGAGCAGAACACGCCCCCGCCGGGTGGGAGCCTGGGAAAGGGAAGACGCAGCCCTGAGTCGCATCCGGCAGCTCCTTGCAAAGTATCTCTGCGCCCGGGGACCCAGCAGACGGTTCTGGAAAGCCCTCTCCAGGAGGCATGCTTCCTACTGCCCTGCGCCTAGGTGGCGGCTGGGTGTTCTGAGGGGAGTGCAGGCCCCTGAGGCGTTGGGGCGAAGCGTGGAGGACTGACTGCTGACCCCGAGGCTGGGCACCGGGCGGTGGGGACCCAGCCTGTGACCCTCGGGCCCAGCACCTCAAGGCCTCCCAGGAGGGAGCACTCTGGCCAAAGCCCCGGGGACGGGGCACGTTGGACCTGCGCAGCAATCCTGTGGGGCTCCTGGCAGGCCTGTCACCCGCCCCTCTTACAGCCAAGAGGACGCGTTCAGCTGTGTCAGCAGGCGTGTGGCTCCTAGAGCAAGGCCCTCGTGCTCCCGGTCCCTGTTGTTGGCCTCCTGCCCGCGGTCAGGGCTGAACCAGGCTGGGGCTGGATCCTGCCCTGTGAGGCCCTAAATGAGACCACGGGGTAGCAGGGCTGGGGGCTTTCAGGAGGCAGAGCAAAGGGGACCCCAGCAGGCTGGGGACAGAGGCCTCGCTCACCTTTTCCTCTGGAGGGCTCCCTCTCCTCCAAGATGACCCGTTGCCCGTCCAGACTGGATATGGGGGCGCCGAGGTCCAGGGGCTCCTTCTCTCCACTCTAGAAGCAGAGATGGTGCAGGGAGTGACTCACCCGGGTCAGAACTTTTTGGACGCTGTGTGTGTTCCAGCCACTGACGGGAAGGCCCTGCCGGGCCTGCTGGAGTCATGTGCCAGGTGCCCCCAGGCCCTATCACCTGGGCAGGGCTGCCTCAGAGGGCGCTCGGTAGGTGCCCAGCCAGCAACGCAGGGGACCGACCTGGGGCCGGCCACACACTGCCGACGTGGGTAACACGGGTTCTGAGCAGTGGCTGGCCTTCGGGGAACGCCTGTGGTCCGAGGGATGTGCGTGCGCAGGGCTGCTGGCCTACAGCTCGTGGAACAAGACCCAGGATGGGGTGGGGGGGGGGGGGGTGGGGAGAGTGCTCGGGGAACGCGGCGGATATCTCAGTCCACAGACCCGGCGTCTTACACGTCGCATCCGCTCCGCACACCTCTCCTCACCTGATGAGGCGAGCGTCAAAACCCGCCTCCCTGACCCTCAGAGGCGGTTGGGGGGGCGAAGGGCGAGAGCAAACTGTTTCCTCTGCAGACAGGCAGAGGCGACAGCTCGCAGAGCCACTTGAGGTCCCGGGCGGCACCCTCAGCTGTGGCCACGGGGCCCGCCCTCCTCCCCTCGGGGAACCACCCTGCTGCCCAGGCCACACCACTGTTCAAAGAAAGGAATCGGAACTGGCAGTTTGCCTTCCTAAGTTCCGTCGGTCGAGAGGACAATTAAAGTGACCAGATGCCAAGTCGGAGTGACTGGTGCCAGACCCGAGGAAAAGGACGACCGACGGCTGATGGGTCTGCCCCGCTCTCCATGTTCCCCGCCTAGGTGGCCATATTCACTGGCGAGGCCACATCTGTCACAAGCCATGCCACAAGAAGTGTCCGTGGCCGGAGACCCAAGGCGGCTGACCCTCTCTTCCCAGTGGGGGTCTCAGCAGCCAGAAAGCAGCTCACCCAGCAAACAAGCCCATTCTACAGACAGGGAGACTGAGGCAGAGAGCAGTGAGGCGCTAGCTCAGGATCTCAGAGTGAGAGCAGGAGGCCGGGTGGCGCCCAGTCCAAGTCCCTCTCCGTCCGGCACAGTCTAGACTCCGACGGCGGCCCTCCCTGCCGAGCTGGGGAAGCGGCCCCGGGCTACCCTCAGGATCCCGGTGAACAACACAACACGGCCCCCTCGTTCATTTCAAAGCTCTTGAACGATCTGGGGCCCAATTCAGAGACCATTAAAATCCTCCAAATACTCGAAATCATAGATTGCTCTGATAAAGTTCCTTCTACGAAGAGAGACCCCAGGGCGAACACTGTACCATTAACCACCACGCTTCACGGTAAGCGGGCACAATGCGCCACAACACATCGGTGATTTCGGCACAGACCGGGCCGCGGGAGTGCCAGCCTCCTGCCCCAGGACGTCCCCCCGAAACCGTCTGGCCACAGGGGGAAAGGACCCTGCCCTGGTTCACTGCGGCTTCTTTGTCCCCGTGTGCGGTCTCCCTCACTTGCTCACGTTATGCCCCGGGGGCCCTGCTTGGACGTGGTGCATTTTTAGGTCTCAGGAAATGTAAACGAGAGGGACTCAAGGCCGTCTGCCAAAGCCCGGCAGCTGCTCAGGGTGCGGGACGTACCCGTGCCCCTGGCTCCCTGCCAGCCCATCAGATCTGCAGACGGTGGGGAGATTCCAGGGCTTTTCAGTGGTTGGTTTCTCATTTTTGTTTCTCTGGACCCAAACCACATCTCAGCTATCACCCAGAGCTCCCTGGGAACCACCAAGGTGTAAGTAAACAGGGAGCATTTCCACTCACTAGGACACCCGCCCCCCAGGGCCTTGGCGTGCCCCCAGGTCACACACGCACGTACGTGGAGCTCCAGAGGCGGGCCTGCATGCCGCACCCCCCCCCCCC